GGGGAAAGAAGGTTCGGCTCTGGAACCAGACAGCAAAGACCTGAGTGTAGCCTAAATGCAGTCAGAGAAGTAAAGGATAAGCTGAAAACTAATCAGCAAAAAGATGTCACAAATGTCCACCCATTCTATAATTCTGGTAATTTTTTTCTGACAGGGCTACATAACTGTGTGAAAACTCAGAACAGAAAAGTAAAATCTAGCAGAGGACTAGAGTTTGGCTGTCACCTAAAATGTCTATTGCAGAGCCCCAGGATGAAGAACAGTGTCATATGATATTAGAGCTTAGAGAATTTCTAGTTCATCCTTCTCTCCTTCATCAGATGAAGAAATTAAGACCCAAAGAGGTTCAATGACTTCTTCAAGGTCAAATAGTGGATAAAATATGACAAGAAAGTTAACCTGGTTTCCTTTCCTTGCAACTCAACACTCTGCAGGCTTCAAGATAATTCCCATTCAATTCAGTGCAACGCAGTTCTAGAAACAATGGCCTAAACTGTGCAAAGCTCAGGCTGCTGAATATTCTGGAAAAGCGACAGAGTGGGGATGATGAAACTCTGGCAAGTTGGGGGGGGTGTCAACAAATACATTTTCCTCTGGGGGTCTGAGGAGGAAAGAGATCTGAAAAATGGGCAGAGTTGGGGGGTGAGATCCATCAGTCTAGATGGGATTTCCTTACTCCACAGAGGGGTGGGCTCTTCTTGAGTTTTGGGGAAAGACTCCACCCCACCCCTCATCCCCTACAAATGGCTCAGAGAGGATAAGAAGGAAGCTAGCTTTAGCAAAGGCTCATAGAGTGTGTGGGCCACAGATAGAGAAGGTTAAGGGGGTTTCTCTTCCTCTCTCGAGGTAAGTAGATTACCAGTGGAGGGAATAGGCAGGTGGAAACCAAAACCCTTCTCTCCTCCCTGTCGAAACAACAGATTTACAGGTCACCTTGGGGAAAAAAAAAAATACTCCTCCAACAGCCTGCCGACCTCAAATCCCTGAGTAGGTGGAGGTCACACTCAGAGGAGAGGTTTCCTTCCTTCTAGAGAAAGGAGGGCTCTGGCAAACTTCTGCTAAGAAATGCCTCTCTATCCCCAAATAAAAAAGGCTGGGGAAGAAAGGCATAAAACTGACGCCTCAAGGGCGGCGGGATGGGGGTGGGGGTAAGGAAGCTGGTATCCCTTTTTCTTCCCTTCCCTTTTCCAGGGCAGATGAGGGAGGATCTTCCTACCTCCCGCTCCCAATCTTAAAGGGGGCCGGCCAGTCGGGGACTGGGCAGGCAGGGGAGGAGCCTGCGCCCGTCAGACGGGTGTAGCCACGCCCCTCCCCACACCCACACACACCCACCGCTGGCTCCTCTGTGCTCCGGAAGAGCCGGTTACTCCTGTGCCCCACTGACTGCCCCCACCCCTTCCGAGCCCCAGGCCTAGTCTCCAGGGCAACCTTTAGGACTATTCCAGCCAGGAGCGGCTGGGAGAGGGGTGTTGGATAGGAGAGGACCACCTGGGATTAGAAAAGAAAACGAGGTAGGATCCATTCTTCCCATCTGGTGCAGAAAGACTGCAATCATCTTCATCCCTGAATGAGACCCCCGCCTCATCTCATCTAATCAGGCTTCCCTGCTCTGAGGAAGGATGAGGTTGGGGTGACAGTGTGCCCAACAGCTGGATGTTTACTTCCTGCTATAAGGCCTCCCATTCTGCAGCTGTGCTTCTCCCCCCATCCAGAGGACAGAGGGCAGACTGACCCCAAATGTCCTCAAACATTCCTCAATCCCATCAGATGTGGCTGATCACCCACCCACCTCTCTTTTCCCCACCCATTTCCTTTCAGGAAGCTACTAGAAAGGGGAAGGGGCAAATGGTCATTTTATCAGCAACTTGTAAGGAGAGTCTCCCGGGAATAGGCTGAACCTCAAGCCAGGCCACTGGACTAGTAATGAAGAGAACGGGGAGGGACAAACTAGCACCTGCTCCCCATTTCTCACCCTCCTGTGTTCCTGCGGCACCTCCCTGACTCTGGGGTCAGCTGCCACGGTGCCTGGCTCCACTCTGGAGCCAGATGGCTGGGGCTGGGAGGAGGAAGAGAGAGAAGGGGATTCGTTTGCATCCCTCTACGTCCTTCCCTCTCCCCCACCAGATACTCCTGGCATCCAACCCCAAACACCACTGCTGAACACCCTCTCCTCCCCTCAGCACCCCCTCCAAACATGACTTAGAAGAGTCTGAAGCAGATCCTGACACCCAGTCCCCTAATTCTGGAGGTAAGGAGTGGGAAATGACAGAGCATAGCTAGGGACGCAGCTGGACTGGGGGCGGAGGGGGAATTCTCTAATGGAGGTGGGATAATAATTAAAGATCTCTCTTCCCCTCACTGGCTGAATGGATCATACTGTTAACAGGGTCTGTCTAGCAGGGAGATGGCTCTCAGCCGAGTAACCATTCCAGCTGGACACCCCCCCCCCACACACACACAGGTTAAAGCAAAAGTCTTCACCTTCTCTGTATTCTGGAAAGGCTAGATTCTCCTAATACATCACAAGGACCATACCCCTCCCCTTCTTTCCCCACTTTCTTTTTTTTTTTTTTTTTTTTTTTGAGACAGTCTTGCTCTGTCGCCCAGGCTGGAGTGCAGTGTCGTGATTTCAGCTTGCTGCAACCTACACTTGCCAGGTTCAAGCAATTCTTGTGCCTCAACCTCCCGAGTAGCTGGGATTACAGGCACACGCCACCACGACCAGTTAATTTTTGTATATTTTGTAGAGACGGGGTTTTGCCATGTTGCCCAGGCTGGTTTAGAACTCCTGACCTCAAGTGATCTGCCCGCCTTGGCCTCCCAAAGTACTGGGATTACAGGCGAACACCACCCCACCCCGGCCCCTTTCTCCCCTTTAAGTCGACAGGTGGCTCCTCAGATTCGCACAGTCTTGTTTCCAAACTTCCCAATGGGATTCTCTATGGTGGTCCTGTAAGTTACAGAAAGCCCCTATTTCCTAGGGAGCCGGGGGGCTTCCTTTGCACCGGAACAGAGAAGACTGGACTTCTCTTGCCTTCCTCATCGCCCCAACTCCCTTAGAGATTTAGCCCCAGCTCCCCACCCACTCTCTCCCAACCGTCCCTGAGGCCCTGAAGCACAAGATTCCGGCAGCGCCCTAGCCCCCAGCTCCCAGGTTCTGGGGGAGGGGCCTTCCTAGGCTGCACCGACCAACCCTAGGCCCAAGAGGAGAGCCCTTCCCACCTGGGCTCAGTAGGCGGTGCTGAGGTTGGACCCCAAGCTCCAGGAGATGTAGGGTGGGGTGAGGACTACAGAAAAGGTTTAGATGAGACTTAGCTGAACTTAAAGGGCTGAGCGGAGCAGGGGCAGATAGTGTTGTCGATGTTGCTCCCCCGCCCCCCTTACTACGGGGAAGGAGAGGAGTTGGGGTGGGTATCCCCCCTCCCATTGGGGTTAGGAAGGCGTGGGAAAGCGCTAGTTCCAGAGGGGAGGAGGCGAAACCCAGACCGCGGGAGATTTTTCTGGCGAGGAAGGCGCGGGGGAGGGGGAGATCCTGGGCCCAGAATAGGAAGGGTACTCGAGAGAGGATGGCGGAGAGGCGTGAGAAGCCTCCGGATTCCGGTCGCAAAGGATAGGGGAAAAATGGGCGAGTAGATAGTTCAGGGCAGAGAGGAAGGGCAGCTCCCTGAGGGGGAGAGTCAGATCCCGAATCCCGGGGCAGCAGGGATCCCGGGGCAGGATACCGCAGGAACGGCCCGCCAGGGGACTCCGGAGCTGGAGGTGGGTGCCGGGCCTCACCTGGAGCAGGGCCGGGAAGCGGGCGGCGGCGGCGGCAGCGGCGCAGGTGGCCGAGCCGGGCGGCGGCGGCGCCTCCTCCCCCAGCCCTGGGCCGGCGGCGGCGGAGGGGAGGAGGTGGTGCTTAAAGGGGCAGGAGCTACCGAGGTGAGGACAACCGCTCAGGAGAGCAATCGCGAAGGATCCACTGGGGGAGAGGGAAGCGGGTGGCGTCTCCTAGGGGCCAGAACCAGGAAGGATCCCAGATGGGAGGAAGAGAACAGATCCCAGAAAGAGACAAACTTCTGCGGTGGAGTGGGGGATGGTGGTAGGTCCGAAAGGAAGGACTCGGGAAAGCTCTGCCCGCGCTGCCAGGGCACCAGCAAAAACCGCCTCACAAAGGTGGCCGGGGAAGGCAGCGAGAGCTACATGGGCTCCTAGGGATGCAGGAGAGGGAACTCAAGGCCGAACCTGCTGGGGGTCACGCGCAGCGCCCTACTAGGTGAACAGGTTCCCCGTGTTTCAGCTCCTCAGGGCCCCATCCCTACAGCTGTGGGGCATTTGGAATCAGGAAGCTACGAGGGCAAAAACCTCCTATCCTCTCAACCTCAATCCTTCCTCCCACTCAGTGCCCTCAGTAACTGTAGTGTGGGGGCCATCAATAGCAGCCCTAGTGAGGCTGATGTGGGACCGCGAGAATCGACTTTGGTTCAGTTTTCCCCCAACCACCACCAACCTTGCTTCAGTCCCTGGGGCAACAGGAAGCAGCTGCTCAGTGCAGCCCCCACCTGAAGGTGGGTCAAGGTGGGGGAGGAGAGAAGGCAGACTTAAAAGGCCTTAGAAAAATGAGAGGGAGGGGAGGCACTTTCAAGACCTTCCAGCACTGCCAAAAGCGGGCTTTACTTTTATGGGGGCTAGCAGTGAGTACTGTCAAAATTTCCTTGAATCTCAACAGCTTAAATGGCGAGGAGCAGGGGCAATCCTCCACGGGGCGGCGGGGAGGGGGTTGGGAAAGCCCTGGCCTAAGGTGCGTCTGGGGCTCTTACTTAGAGCTGGGGCTTGCCCATACTCAGAATCCCGTGGTCGGCAGCCTCGCCAGCTGAGCCCTGTGCCCCCCGTCCCCCAGAGTCCTGTTTCCTCTCCTTCACCCCCCAAATGAGCAAAGGTTAGGCCCCACCCCTGCTGAGTCAGCCAGGGAGGGAGTAGGCATCCCTCAGGCCTTCCCCGGGGCTGGTCCCCATACTCACCCATGTCAGGCTGGCAGGGCTCGAGGTTGGGGCCACCCAGCTCCTCACTGTCCTTGGGCCCCCACTTCACGTGAAGGCTGGTGTTGGATCCTTCCAAACTGTGAGCTGGGAACTAGCAACAATCAAAAAGCCAGTGTATGCTTCCTGCGAACCACACAGCCTGAACTGCTGTAGGGTGATGTCCCTGTGTGACAGACTGGGTGGGGAGGGAGGAGGGAAGGGCGGGGCCTTCTCTGGGTGGAGAGAGGGAGGAGGCGAGGACAGGGCAGACCAGGAGAAATATGGAGGAAGGTTAGAGCTGTGTTGACACTCCAGTGGCGTGGTAGAAGAGGCGGGCAAAGGGGGAAGGAAATAAATAGTTGCAGCTACTGAGAGGGAGAAGGTTCTCGATAAACGCTGAAGGACGTGAACGTGTTGGGGGAAGGGGTGGAGGGATGCAAAAGACCTTTAGGATTTCAGTTCCCAGGTCTGTATCGGGTGACGTGAGAAAACAAAGCAGAAAGGGCTGACCTGTACGCTAGGGCTTTTTCTACCAGCTTCTTACCCACTCCAGAGTCAGGACCTAGAGGAAGTGTCCCCACCCCCATAACTCAGCATTTCCCCAAATCCAAGCTTTTCTGGGAGCAAACTACCAGCACAAGCAGCTCAGGGGCTCCACCTTCTGTCCAGATCATGACACAGTAGAGACTGCGGGAGAGGCTGCTGCCAAGGACGTCATAGGCAGATGGAAGGAAGCTTAGAGGCCCCTACTCCACCCCTGGCGCCGCGCCAAAAAGCCCTCCCCAACCTTCAGCCCCCAGGGGCCTCTGAATTGGGAGCTCAGCTTGTCCCCGCCCAGCTTCTACCTAACTTGATGGCCTCAGCGGGTGGAGCTTATAGATGCAGGCTCCTCCCCAGTACAAAAGCCCCAGCTGGTCTGTAAACAGTCCTTAACTGAGAGCCACATCCCAGCAAATGGCCTTCGTGGATTTGAAAATGGGATCAGAGTTATTGCAGAGTCTCCAGTGCTACCGCGAGAGGGCAGTAGGATGAGTCTGGTCCCGGAAAAGAACACAAGGGGAACCCAATCTGACCTTGCAAGCTTCTTTTAAATTGAAATGGTGAAATACACCTTCTACCCCTGCACCTTTCAGTAGGCTAAAATGAAAGGAAAATAACCTAACTTCATTAGTTTAGAAGCCCAAGCCAGCAACCCTGAAAATTGCTATTCCCTTGAGATTCTCTTTTCTGGACTTTCATAAGGGATCTTCACAGGGGGTGAACTAGGCCTCATATGCCTCTGCATAGCCTCAAGCAATCACAAGCAACCTTTATTTAGACTTGCCCAAAATGTCAGGAAGTATTTCAGTACACTTTCTGAAGACATGAAGGCCTAACCAAGATGTAGAGAACCGTTTTGATTCAATTTTAACAAAGATCAGTATTCATCACTATTTCTTGAAAATTCATTAAACTCAGATTAACCCCTGGAAATCAGTTACTTCTAAAACGAGTTTTTCCCAATATGCCCTTCAAAAAAGACCTATTTTAAACCAAGAAATAGGGATGTGCCACATGAAATAGAGGCCCAAAAAAAAAAAAACCAAAAAAAAAAACCCATCAATTTGTATTGAACTAAAGGTCCCAAACTGAGGCCCTACTAAGATCACACTACCCAAAGGAAACCCCGCATGAGAGGTACAATTGCCCATCAACAAAAGAGAATGGCTAGTTTTAAGGACCGATTTCAAACATACATGGCCCACTTCAAGCGGAACCTGCTTCTTATAGCCACTCTAAAAATCTAATTGTTGAAAATAGTGCTGGTGATGTGAGACTGCATACACCTGTAGCCCCAGCTACTCAGGAGACTGAGGTGGGAGATCTGGAGCCCGGGAGTCGGAGACCAGTCTTGGCAACACAGCCAGACACCGTGTCTCTAAAACTAAAACTAAATACATAACCCTTGAGTGTTGACTATGTTGTCAGAACCAAGAGAATCAGACAAATTCTGAGGGGTGTACATTTTATTGGAAACCTTAAATACCGTTCAGACAGAATATATCTTCAATCAAGGCTCTTGTGCAGCCAACACAGATAAATGAAGTTTTTTGGGTTAGGGGCAAGGAGAGGGACAGTACAGAGGACAAGGACCCCTCACGACGCATGCTCTTCAGCCAGCTTATCAGCTTTTGCCACAGCTTCTTCAATGGGTCCCACCATATAGAAGGCCTGTTCTGGGAGATGGTCATATTCACCTGTATGACGGGGAAAAAAAAATAAGAAGTGGAGGGATATCAATTTTCTGCATCGTGTAACATTCCTTACCACTTGAGGCCATCAGTTAGAATGTGATGACTTAAGGTCATCTTAGAAAGCTTAAATTTTCCTCACAAATCAAATTTACAAGACATGATACAGTATGAATTAAGAACACATGGGTCAGGCATGGTGGCTCACACCTGTAATCCCAGCACTTTGGGAGGCCAAGGCGGGCGGATCACCTAAGGTCAGGAGTTTGAGACAAGTCTGGCCAACATGGTGAAACCCCATGGCTACTAAAAATACAAAAATTATGCATGGTGGCGTGTGCCTGTAATCCCAGCTACTTGGATGGTTGAGGCTGGAGTATCACCTGAACCTGGGAGGTGGAGGTTGCAGTCAGTCAAGATTGCACCAGTGTACTCCAACCTGGGCGAGAGACTCAGTCTTAGAAAATACGTATAAAATAAAAGGGAGCTAAAGCATCAAGTAACAAATCACAAATTAAATGTAGAGTATTTTCTTTTTGAGACGGAGTCTTGCTCTGTCCCCCAGGCTGGAGTGCAGTGGCGCGATCTCGGCGCACTGCAAGCTCCACCTCCCGGGTTCACGCCATTCTCCTGCCTCAGCCTCCCCTACAGGCGCCCGCCGCCACGCCCGGCTAATTTTTTTGTATTTTTAGTAGATACGGGGTTTCACCGTTAGCCAGGATGGTCTCAATCTCCTGACCTCGTGATCCACCTGGCTTGGCCTCCCAAAGTGCTGGGATTATAGGTGTGAGCCACCGCGTCCGGTCATGTAGAGTATTTTCAAACAAAATTAATGGGAAAGTTTGTTTTTTAATTAAAAATATAATTAGGCATAGTATATTATATATTGCTTGATGGTCGTTGGAATGGGACCACAGCACAGTAAACATTCAAGATTTTGGCTTTTCTGTGATCTTATGTTCAGCTTTGTACTCAAAATCTCACCTGCCAAAATCTGCTGGAATCCTTTGATGGTCTCCTTCAGGGGTACCAGCTTCCCCATATGACCTGTGAAGACCTCAGCAACCTGGAATGGCTGAGACAAAAAACGCTGTATTTTCCGTGCACGGGACACGGTCAACTTGTCTTCCTCAGAAAGTTCATCCATACCCAGGATGGCAATGATATCCTGGAGGGATTTGTAGTCCTATGAGAAAAAAGAAGCCTGAGTTAAGTACTCTCATTCCTTTAATTTGGACAAGCTAACAAAGGGAAAGTTACATGCTAGGGGGCAGAGAGGGTGGTGGTGGTATGAGGACCCTCAGCCAAGAAAGATTAGTGTCTTTCTTGTTCTCCATAGTCCTAGTTTGGTGCTGTTAGAAAAATACTGCATTCCACCGGGCGCGGTGGCTCACACCTGTAATCCCAGTACTTTGAAAGGCTGAGGTGGGCAGATCACAAGGTCAAGAGTTCAAGACCAGCCTGACCAACTGGTGAAACCGTCTCTACTAAAAATAGAAAAATTAGCTGGGTGTGGTGGCACGCACCTGTAATCCCAGGTACTCAAGAGGCTGAGGCAGGAGAATCGCTTGAACCTGGAAGGCAGAGGTTGCAGTGAGCCGAGATGGCGCCACTGCACTCCAGCTTCAGCGACAGAGACGCCATCTCAAAAAAAAAAAGAAAAATATTGCATGCCACAGCGTTAAGTACCTGGAAACTCAAGAGACCTCATTAGCTCTCACTAGCAATTGCTAGCCTCAACTTTCCTTGCTCCAAAACAAATCACACAAATCACTAAGAAAGATCCAGTCCTGGCCGGGCGCGGTGGCTCAAGCCTGTAATCCCAGCACTTTGGGAGGCCGAGACGGGCGGATCACGAGGTCAGGAGATCGAGACCATCCTGGCTAACACGGTGAAACCCCGTCTCTACTAAAAAAATACAAAAAACTAGCCGGGCGAGGTGGCGGGCGCCTGTAGTCCCAGTTACTCGGGAGGCTGAGGCAGGAGAATGGCGTGAACCCGGTAGGCGGAGCTTGCAGTGAGCTGAGATCCGGCCACTGCACTCCAGCCTGGGCGACAGAGCGAGACTCTGTCTCAAAAAAAAAAAAAAAGAAAGATCCAGTCCTAATACAGTCCCCACAATCCCTCTTTTTAACTTTCCGGACAGTGATCCCACATAGTAATATACTCACCTGCAGGATTTTTTGCACTCCACGGGCAACATCGTAATGCTCACTGCCAACAATGTTGGGATCCATGATGCGAGAGGTGGAGTCTAGAGGATCCACAGCTGGATAGATGCCCAGCTCAGCAATGGCACGTGACAGTACAGTGGTAGCATCCAAATGGGCAAACGTAGTAGCAGGAGCAGGGTCAGTCAAGTCATCAGCAGGCACATAGATAGCCTAAAATGAGATCCCATGAAGTACAGCAGGAACCAAAGTAAATTTTTTTTTGTTTTAAAAGTATCTTTTTTTTTTTGAGACAGGGTCTCGCTCTGTTGCCCAGGCTGGAGTGCAGTGACGCAATCTCGGCTCACCGCAACCTCTGCCTCCCGGATTCAAGCAATTCTCTGCCTCAGCTTCCCGAGTGGCTGGGACTACAGGTGCCCGCCACCACATCTGACTAATTTTTTTGTACTTTTAGTAGAGATGGGGTTTCACCATCTTGGCCAGGCTAGTCTTGAACTCCTGACCTCGTGATCCACCCGCCTTGGCCTCCCAAACTGCTGGGATTATAGGTGTGAGCCACCACGCCCAGCAAACCAAAGTAATTTTACTTAAGCCATCCCCCTTTCTGACGTATCTTTACCATCTCATTCCATTTAGCACTCTAAAGACCCTTCTTACCACCCCTAATACCTGCTGAATAAGCTGACAGATTATCTGGTCTCTCAGCCATGATGGAAGAATTTTTAATATCATTCTTTTTGCTCTTCATCTTGTATTTTAACTGTATTTTAATAATACCCACTTTTAGA